TTGGACACGGATGCGTCGTCGGTAGTGTGTCTATGACACCTCGGGTGAGGTCGGTGTATCCTGGTTCGTTTGGTCTGGGTGTCCAAGCTGGTAAATATGGAGATTTAGGTTCCATTGTTCCAGGTCGGTGGTTCCGCCATGCATGGCAGTGGTCCAGCGGTGCTGTTGATTTCCGTTCCAGCGCGAGGTGAGGCGTGGGTCTATTCTTGCACATGCTAGTTGGTTGATGGCTTTGGTACATGGGAAAGTGTGTACACATGGGTGATTTTTCAGCCCACGGTTTTGTTGAAAACCAGCTTTTTGTCTCTTCAGAGCTGCGTGCTACATACACCATCTCTTTGCGAATTTCTCTGGGTTTGAGGAATTTATCTGGTTTGAGTGAATTTCTTTGGATTTGGAGAAGGAAAATTTCTCTGGAGAGAAGGGAAGGCCAGGAAGGCCAGAGAAATTTTTTCTGGAGAGGGAAATTTCTCTGAAGGCTAGAGAAGGAAAATTTCTCTGGAAAGAAGGGAAGACCAGAGAAATGTTCAAATTTTCTCTGGAGAGTTGAGTCTAGGAGAGGTAGGAGGGCAGATAAATTTGTTTAATTTTCTCTGCCTTTAACTGAGTAAAATTGGTGAAGTCAATTTTCTCTGGGTCTGGGAAGTCCAAAATTTATTAATTTTCTCTGGTTTGAAAATTGGTCAAACTGAACCCAGAGAAATTCTTTGGAAATCTAGAATTTCTCTGGACGAAATTTCCCTGGACGAAATTTCTCTAGATCAAATTGAGGAACCTTAGACATTATGAAAATATTAGATATTTTTTACGCTATAAAATCTTAATACCAGGGACCTTAAAAAAAAACCCCTAAAATATTCACAATGAATTATTAAAATATATTATATGATAAAAAGTGATAAAAGTATAATTTAATTTTGTGTTAAAGTATATTAATTTAGTAAATGTAAGTCTTAAAAGGGTGATGTTAAAGAGTGTGAAGTGATCATAAGAGGTCGCAAGTTCAAAATTCATAAATGCAAATCGTTTTAAATCTTAAAACAAAAAATTAAAAATAAAAAAAAAAGAAGGAAAAAAAAGTGTGTGTCAAATAAATGTAAGATTCCCCTGATTGTGTATGAATTTGTATGTGTAAAATAATTAAACAATTGCATAAAGTGTGGTCGATTTGACCCCATAGGATTTTCGACTCTCTCTAACTAGAAGATTGAAGACAGATAGTAAGCGCTTGTTTGCCATAAATTAAAAAAATATATATATATTTATATTTTAAGTTACATTATTTTTTATTTATTTATATATATATACATATATATTTTATAAAAATTTAAAAAATATACTTATTTAAATCATTTTAATCAACTTCTAAACTTTGCAAACATGTAACAACTCTAATGCACTTGTTAACAGCTCCTTTGAAACTCAAAAAAGTAAAGAAATTAGCTAATGTGTGCAATAATAAATTTCAAAATATTTTAAATTTTATATAAAAATGTGTGCAATATATATATATACATATATAATATTTTGAAATCATCTTAACATGTATTGAGTAGGCCCCAAATTAAAATGTAATTAATTCATGTACGTTGTTTCTTTTCGGGTGAAGGGGTCTCCATTGACTTGGGGATTAATGTACATTGTTTCTTCTAGTAGTTTCGTCTTGTGTGCTTGGTAGACCAACTTGATTTTCAAAATTGTAGTATTTATGTTTAATCCAACATTAATAATGATTAGGAAATGGATTTCCAATTTTTTTTTTTAAAAAACATCTCCCTTCACATCCGCATGTGTCTTTATTTTATTTTTGTTAATTGATAGGGACAAATTTATAATTATGAGGAGAACTGCATACTTGAAGTTCAGCAATCAACTTAAAAAAAGAATTCATACCGATAAAAAAAAAAATGTTTTATTAATGTATGCTTTTAGGATACATGTCAAGAGACTAAGAGTGGGATTATTTGTACTGTATTTGGCTAAAATTAGATAATTGATGTGATTAGATATATAATTATTCTTTTATCATTGAATAAAAAAAGAAAATAATCCAGAATGCTTTGTTCTCCTGACACCACTTTTTATATGATATTAATTTTTTTTTTCTTACTCAATCCCTCAGGTCCGTATTAAAATTATTCAAAGTCAAAACATATTGAATTCGACATCTCTCAGAACATTTTCAATGGTTCATCAAAAAATTTATCAAATTTGAGTAAAAAAAGGTCGAATTTCTCTATTTGATATTGCCTGCTCCAACAGAGAGATTTGCCTTTTCATCAAATCACTGGTCGACCGGACGGACGACCGGCCGATTGACCAGTCAGTGCAAAATTTTGACTTTGAATTTGCATCTGAAATTAAAACCCAGAATGGTTATTCGAATGCTTCCTCACCCCATGGATACCAATTGACCTTAATAAATATTAAAAAAATATCATATCGGTATCACAATTAAGAAATAAAAATTGGAGAATAGAGAGTCTAGAAAGAGAGTGCGAGTTTCTATCAAAAAACCCAGAAAGAAAAAAAACAGAGTACATACAAAACAATAGCAACAGCCATATCCAAATCTCCTATCCTATACTCCTTACAACACAGCATGATCTCAGACTCCTCATGCAATTCAAGAATTAGCATACAAGGACCAAACCACCAATCTATCACATACCCATAACAAGAAAGAGGGCTGTGTTTGGAAGCAAGACAATTGGTGTACTTGTGGTTGGTGGTTTGTGAAGGCGGCTTCTGGGACTGTTCAGCCATGGCAAGGACATTGTGGTTGGAGTGAATGGGTCGTCGGGATTGGACTGAAAAAGGCCAAGAAAGTGAGGCAACTCGTAGTATATTGAACACCCACATCCTCAAAGCATATCAAAATCCAGATCTGTTTGTTCGATTAACCGGATGACCGGAGGGATAACTGGTCGAATGTTTGGCTGGTCGTCCGGTGGGTCCCTGCCCAACGTTACTGCACAATAAATTGGTGAACGCTTTCCAGATCCTCAGTTTGGCGAAACATTTGACATTTTTCCAATTTGATACTGTTTTGGTGAAACCATTAGAGCACAAAAAGTATGTTTTTATACCAAATTTGAATTTGATGATGTAACTGGTGAACCATTAGAGATAGTCTCATACATAATCCTCCCTCTTTATCTTACAATAAAGGAGAATTCTATCGTACATACTTATTATATATATCTTTAGTTATATAATTTTTTTTAATTATAATTAATTTTTTTTAGTTATAATATTATTTTGAGATATTTAGTTATATCTCATGTAATATTTGGTTATAATTTTTTTTTATTTTAGTTATGATTTAAAAAATATAAAATTACTCATTTTCTTATTTTGTTATAAGATATATATTGTTCACATCATAATCTCCAATTCTCCCTACAATAAAATGCAAAACAAAATACAAGATGGGCCTAATTTTACCCCAACCCTTTATTCCTATTTTTTGGGTAATTCCTTTATTTCTATTTTATATAGAGAGAATTACACTGCCAGGTATCAGTGAAACATATTTTCTATAAAAATTAATAATTAATATCATAAACTTTTTTTTATTAATTTGTAAATTTTTTACACTGATACCATTGTCAGGTAAATGTCCCTTTTATACACTTCAATCAAATGTCACCTAATTTTATTATTTTTTTGGTGCTAAGTCATACTATTAAAACTGTACTTGGTCAAGGCATTACATTGCTGTTAAGTTTTTGTAATTGATAATTCTATTGGATAAAAATTCGTTCAGTTGTATTTTTATTCACTCTATTGTATCTATAAGTTATAAGAGTTTAGATGTGAATCTAACTCAAGTTGTGCCTGTAAAGAGAAGTTTGTGCTGATATTCTGTATCTTGACTCGAGCATTCTTTGTTTTTCACTTCGCATTCTTTCGTGCGCTCAAGTAGTGAAGTGGATCATCCAGTATCTTGATGTGTGTTCTGAACTTCTAGGAAACGTGTTTTACTGCTCTAGTGATAGAAGTTGCGCCCGAACGATTGACTTATATGTTATCAGGCCCAGTCCTGAGATTTCCGGGCCCAAAATCGATAATCAATTAGTAAATTTTTGGGGCCCTTCACATTTTTTTTTTCATAGAATGAAAAAAAAAATGAAGGTAAAAGACAAAAGATTTCTGTCAAAATCACAAAAAATATTAAGTATTACATTACAACAACTAATAAATGTCGCTTGATCCTCGCTCTTCTTGCATTTTTAGAAGCAAATAAATCAATCATACTTGTATAATCTAGTTTTTTTTTGCAAAATCATTTTCAGTGGATAACAATGCTAATTATTTTAAATGGACCTTTCAATTTTTTAATGGGTCAATTTATTTTAAATTAGTTTGGGCCTTCCTTAATTTTTTTTGGATTTAAAACATACCTAATATATTACAATAAACAATAATAGGAGGGGACCCTTTTTTTGGATCTATTTTCAATGGATAACGTCGTAACGATGTTAATTTTTTTGAATAGACATTTCAATTTTTTAATGGGTCAATTTATTTTAAGTTAATTTGGACATTCTTTAATTTTTTTTGAACTTCAAACATATTTAATATATTAAACTAAATCATAATAGGAGGCCCCCTTTTTTTGGTCTATTTTGAGGGGCCTTAGGCCATGGCCTGGTTGGCCCATGCCCAGGGCCGGCCCTGTATGTGATCACCACCTTTTCTTACACTGCTCGATCGATAAAGTGTGCCCTCAAGCAGTCTTCGCAGCTCTATTTAGTATAAAGTGTGTTACTTGCTATTTTTAGAGTTGGAACTCGTTTAGATTCTCAAAAATGAATAAAATAAGTGTTCTATATTGAAGAGTTGTTTTATATGAGTTTTCTTGATGTATACAAGGTGATCGATTGATCAATGAATTACATATTGACAAATATCAAGGGTTGTTTTTGTTCTTTTATTCATATATATATATATATATATATATATATATATATAGAGAGAGAGAGAGAGAGAGAGAGAGAGAGAGAGAGAGAGAGGTGTTGTTCGGTGGATTTCGGAGAGCTTGAGCCTGAAATTTTAGTGGATTTCAGAGTGGTTCATCATCGTGAATTCGACATCGGTGTTGTGGATTCAACGTTGGGCGAAACAATTCTGAGGTGAAAACGGTGGTGGAAAAGGCATACTAGATTCGGTTCAATTCAGGTGTGAATTCGTTAGGTAATTAAAGGTTCTCGTGTGTAGTTCTTTTTTGTCTTCTTAGTTGATTATTTTATGGCTTTGGCCGTGATTTTTTTATCACACTTGAAGGTGTTCAATTGTGATTCTTTTTACATTAAATTGTTGTGTCGATTTCTTGTTGATTGTTTAATTAAAATTGCTATTCCTTGTTTAAAATTGAATTATAATCACAAATCATCGAGTTTTTGAAATTTTCAATTGCCAAATGTGTATTTTGGGAAAGGGAATCATAAAATTAAATTGATTATATGTTATAAATTTTATGAACCTACATATAAGGTCTTTATTTATTTAAATACCAGTCATCATCAAAGGCTAACAATGTACACATATTGAAAAGTCAAAAACTAGTTGAGTTTTGCTTCAACTTGTTCGAGTTTGACCAAGACTCTGGAGGCTACATTTGCATTTTTCAAAGCTACTAGATAATTGATTAAACGTTGGGCGAAACAATTCTGAGGTGAAAACGGTGGTGGAAAAGACATACTAGATTTGGTTCAATTCAGGTGTGAATTCGTTAGGTAATTAAAGGTTCTCGTGTGTAGTTCTTTCTTGTCTTCTTAGTTGATTATTTTATGGCTTTGGCCGTGATTTTTTATCACACTTGAAGGTGTTCAATTGCGATTCTTTTTACGTTAAATTGTTGTGTCGATTTCTTGTTGATTGTTTAATTAAAATTGCTATTCCTTGTTTAAAATTGAATTATAATCACAAATCACCGAGTTTTTGAAATTTTCAATTGCCAAATGTGTATTTTGGGAAAGGGAATCATAAAATTAAATTGATTATATGTTATAAATTTTATGAACCTACATATAAGGTCTTTATTTATTTAAATACCAGTCATCATCAAAGGCTAACAATGTACACATATTGAAAAGTCAAAAACTAGTTGAGTTTTGCTTCAACTTGTTCGAGTTTGACCAAGACTCTGGAGGCTACATTTGCATTTTTCAAAGCTACTAGATAATTGATTAATTTGATTCAAGTTGACACCGTCTTCCGTACGTAAAACGATAATGGATTATTTTTAGTTGCACATTTAACTGGAGACTCACTTTCAAGTAATACCACCGTGTATTAGTGAGAACTCAATTAAAGTACCCTATGGATTAGTCTTGAGTAATTATTTGATTTTAATAAATCTGAGATTGTAGATGGAATACATCCCAAACTCTATATTTTGACTATCAGGCCAACTCATTGGAGTTAAATAATTTACGTTATTAATTGACTCACTGAGTAGATCATTCATACAACCAGGGACGGAGACAGCATAGGCCGATAGGGTCACGTGCCCCCTCCTCAGTTTTGTAATTTTTTTTAAAATTTTTTTATTCTCATATATAAAATGTATTTTTTTTCTTAACATATTCTTTGACTAATGATTTATTATATTGTTCACAACAAGTTATTATTTGATACTTTGAAAACACTATGTGACATTATTTATATAATAGTTTAAATCAATAGTGTAGCGAAAAATATTATAAATTGGATATAATGAACTTATTATTTTCAAGTAATTGACATACCACTTAGTGTGATTTGTGATTTTCTATGCTTTGAGTATCACGTAGGTAACGTCATATGGTACTCTAAGACTGTTTAATAATTTTCATTCAAAACAGATCATTTATAAACAATGTCATCTCTTTAATATTTTTCTGTCAAATAAAAATGAAATAGCTTTTATAATAATTTGTGTTATAAATGATGTGTTTTTATTTTTTAAAATTAGGAATTTTGATCCATAATTTTTTGTACTAAAATTGCAAACTTACATCATCATCTCACAACGAGCTATTCTACACTATTATAGAATTTTGATTTGTTCTTATTAATAATGAATATGTAATTTTTTATGTTTAAATTTATCTTATAAAATGATTATTATCTTAAAGTTGCTCATGAATTTTTTTAAAATAAAAAATTATAATTAATAAGTGCTCCCTCTAACCTAATTTTCTGGCTCTACCACTACATACAACAATTTAAGTTAATTAGATATTAGTGACCCCTTGATTAAATTAAATTTGTAAAAATGCCATGTACAATTTTGATAATAGATTCTCTTTTTATTTTTTAAAAAATATAAATTATAAAGAATCTTAGAACTAATAACTTTCATTTTACATAATTTTTTAGAGAGTACCTCTATTTATCATTTTCAACAAACTTAGGTACTCAAACACGATGAAATAAAAAAATATTACGGTTATTAGATTAGCATATATTTGTTTTATGTTATTAATGATATATACATAGGACTCTATAACATGAGTGATTTGGACCATTGAAACAAAACAATGTGATGAGCTCTATAGGTTTTAAAAAAACACTATAGCCCAAATTTTGAACTGAATAGAAGCCCAGTTCAATTTTAAAGATACATCATATCTCTCACTTTGAGGATAAATGTAATTCATGGGATAAAGTTGTTAAACAAGAACCTTGAATCTTAAAAAGTTTGATTTGAGTCTTTTTATCACTTGTTGAGAGGGAGATTTGTGCCGAGTAAATGGGCTGAGTTAGTGTGAGCTTAGAGTAAATTGCAAGGCTGCTCAACTGAGATGGAATAGCACGGTGTGGCTTGAGTCAAGGTTCCGGATCAGTTGGGTTGGCCCGAGATCTAGACGTAGAACCGGGCTGGTTATTGGACTTGGATCATGAGTCGAGCTAGGCGAGGCATGTGCGTCGAGCTAGGTGCTCCTAGATCAGGCAGAGTTTGCCTTAATAAATTAATGAAACTTGCATGGATTGAATGTGGTGAGTCGAGATGATTGAACATTAGAGATCAACAATGATCAGCTTGGCCCAAAAGACTAGTCAACATTGGAGAGCTAGGCCAGATGAGGATATGGTTAGCTTGGCAAGAGCAGCCATGTCGCCCAATTGGTGGGCAAATAAGGAAATCCATTGTTCGTGCGTGTCAATACCGTCTGGCTGTTTTGTCAATGTTGTTTGGCAGTATTATCGTGCACATACGTGGTAGACGAAAAGAGGGTAGTACATCCACACATCCAAGGAAGGATGAACAGAGTAGTGTGCGCAGAAACTATATAAACTGTACGGCGCCTCCATGCAACAAGTTTGGAATTCTTGTTATCAGAGCTACCTGTATTATGTCTCCACTCTCTCATTCTTCTTCTCTAAGTGTGCTAACTTGATCACTGGAGGGGTTTTCCGACTGCACACCCGCCGGGGCAATTCACCGTCGTTTTGTTCTCAAGTTGAATGACGATACTCAGAGCTTGGACATGAGGAGTACGAAGAGCGACGAATATTTCCTCCCCATACAATTGGCGCCGTCTGTGGGAAATCCAACAGACAAAACCTTATGCTCCAAGCTTTTCTGATCACTTTTCATGGCAAACAAAGATGACGTTCCGAAGTTCGTCGTCGATGGCATTACTTCAGAGTTATTTTGGCGTCGTGGTGATCTATCCACTGTTCTGCCGATGGTTGGACTGGAGACTTCCACACGAGGGCCCCTTCAGAGACGGGCGAAACAAACGTACAAGGAGTTCTGGGCGCTCATTGAGCCCATAAGGACACCGCTGATGGCGAGACACGCATACTGAGCACCTAGAGAGCAAGCTAAAAGACCAAGATGCCATCATTAAGAAGATGGTGACAAAGATGGAGGCCATGAAACGCCAGCTGAAGGGAAAGGACGTTGCTGGGGTAAACCACGGTGAGCGCACCCGATTCCACCACTCCGACAGTCGGGATAGGTGGCAAACTCCTTCACTCTCCGTTACAAGGAGCTTTAGAGTTGACGAGCCCGTCGCACTGACAGGGGTATCTCACACTCAGGATAGTTGCTACCACCCTTCACGATCGTTAACAACATCAAGGTACTCATACTCCGATCGGTCGAGAGACCTGAGAAATGTGTTGGAGGAACGAGCATGTCGGTAGAAGGTACAGAAGGTGCCAACGCTATAGCGATTGGCCCCTAAGGGACACATCAGTGAAGAAGTTGTAATGCCTCCACTCCGCCTGGCAGCGCATGTGCCACCGGACAAGGAGTTGGCGAGGCTAAGTGTCACTCCTTTTTCCATAGAGATAGAAAACATACTACTCCCCATTGGCTTCCACCAGCCCAAGTTTATGCTCTATGATGGAAAGATCGATTTGTATATGCACGTAAGCCATTTTCGTCAAGTTATGGCTGAGCACGAGCACAAGCGAAACGGTGCGCTCATGTGCCTTATTTTCCTATCGAGTTTAGGCAAGTTGGGCCTGAAATGGTTCGATAGGCTACTTGAGGAAAGTATCAAGGGTGGCAGCAATTGGCAGAGACGTTCGTGACACGTTTCAAGACCAATACCAAAACACCCAAAGAAGTCGACCACCTTCTGGGAATCAAGATGGAAATGGGCGACTCCTTGAAGGCGTACAACGCCAAGTATTGGGAAACATTCAACGAAATTCTTGATTGCCCAACGAACCTAGCAATCACCTAATACAAGCGTGGTCTCCCAGTCAGACATAGACTCAGAGACTCGCTTACAATGAACCAATCGACGACCATAGAGTTGCTAATGCAGCGCATCAATGAGCACATTCGGGTTAAGGATGATACAACCACGACTACTGCGAAGGTGAATCCGGTAGCAGCGGACAAAAGGGTGGCTGGGAAGGTTCACGTGGTCAGACAAGAGGCAAACCGTCCAAGAAATTGCGAAAGAGAGCAAGACTACGGTGTTAATCGCAACAACCGGGATAAGGGTCATAATAATGACCGGATGAACTATTCTCGTGATGCCACGGATGATGCCAAGAGAAAATTGAACACCCA